ATAATAATAATAATAATAATAATAATAATAATAATAATAATAATAATAATAATAATAATAATAAAATCAATTACATTGTGCCCCAGGCTCTTAAAATTACCCACTGAGCTTTGGCTGAGAACCTTCAAACCGGAAAACGAGAATACAGAGGCAGGAAAAGGTGAACCGGAAGTGCTCTGGTTAGGGAGCCGTGATCCGGAAGTGCCAAATCCTTCGCTGTGGTAACTGCGTTCTGGTGGGCTGCTTAGGAAGCCCTCCTAATCTTCTGCTCCGCCGTTCACTTAAAGGGTAGTCCTGCATTTCTGGCTGTCTGACCTCTTGGTTCCAAGCTCTGGGTTTTGAGGGGCCTTCTTGTTCTGAAGTCTTCTGTCAGATGGTGTCGAGAGCCTTTCACAGCAGTGAACACCGACGTAGGCCGACTCCTGTCAGGTTGTGTCTAGAATCTTCCACAGTAAACCATCCCCAGTGTAGGCTGCGGGTTGGTAATGGAGGTCTTGCGGAATCTTAATAGAAAAGCACGTTCTATGTGTTTGCCTTAGGATGTGTGTTAAGTTTTATAACCTGTGTATGCCTATATATTATAAGTGTTGGTCTTTTTTTTAAAAAAAGCATTTATTTATTTATGTATCTTTAGTTTTTAGGTGGACACATTATTTTGCTTTTATGTGGTGCTGGGGATGGAACCCAGTGCCTCATGCATGCTAGGCGAGCACTCTACTGCTGAGCCACAACCCTAGCCCCAATGTTGATCATTTTTGTGAAAAATTTCAAATAAGTCTATTGCTCAGTTTGCAGCATTTTTTTCTTCTTTTTTTGGTACCAGGGTTTGAAGTTGGGAGCACCTGACCACTGAGCCACATCCAGAGCCCTGTTTTGTATTTGGTTTAGAGACAGGGTCTCACGGAGTTTCTTAGTGCCTCGCCCTTACTGAGGCTGGCTTTGAACTCGGGATTCTCCTGCCTCAGCCTCCTGAGCTGCTGGGATTACAGGCGTGCAGCAACTTTTAAACTTTTATTAGTGAAACTCGAATTTTGACCCTGGATATTACTTTGCAAAATGTTTTAACTATAGTGTAAAAGTTATTCTTGGATAATTCTTTTAGTCATGGAAGTGTGGGAATACCCAAGGAAATTTGTTCATTTTTCTTTGTTCTTCTGGCATTTTTATTCTTTAGATGTGCCTTGCACAAGCAAAGTTTAATGGAATTTCCCTGGGAATAAAATGACTGTCTTTGAGCTAATCCGGAGAGTGCCTAAATGTAGATTTAAATTATTTGCATCATTGCTTTAATTTTCCACTTCACTTTGCTTTGGGAAAAAATCAGTGATAACTCTTAAGGTATTCATGGGAACCTATTATAAATTTAGGAAGACAGTGTGAAGATTCCACTAAGACTCTTCATTTAGGAATTCTAAGAAATTCTTAGAAACTCTCTATCATTTGATTATTTGCTATTTTGCCTTGGTTGTGTAAAATGCCAATGGATTTCATAGTACCTTGAAGGAGAAACCCTTATTGAAATATTCCAACCTGAAATCAGCAAGTGCTATGTGGTGGAATTTATTCTAGTCCTTCAGGATTTTTTTCTATGTTTATTTTTTGAGCTAATTTGAGTGTTGGTGATAACAATCCTGGGTTTCAGGGTTGGCCTGAGCTAGTTGCTGAATTTTGAAAACTTATATTTGCTACTTTGATAATTTATAACATGTGCTAATGTAGCTTGAGCAAATATTTTATTTTTTATATTGCTTCATACCATAGTGTCAGGAAGAAACCAAATTCCTCTATAGATTTTTAAATCATAATGCCCACTAGGCGGCAGCATAGTGTTTTTTAGTTTCTTTAGTTCTGTGGATCTCATTATAATCATACTGATGCTGTGGTCGTGTTATTCTGATAGTAATAGCTATTGTAAGGTGAATGCTTATTACAATGCCATTACTTGGATAAAATGATATGTACATTATCTCATTTAATCCTAAATTAACCCCAAATTCTGTGACATTGGTATTACTTCTATTTCCCTTATGCAATATGAAGAAATTGGGGAAAAGAGATTTTTTAAAATTTTTTTACTTGTTCTAATTTGCTATACATGACAGTAGAATGCACTTATATACTTTGATGTTTCATACATAGATGGGATATAATTTCTCATTGGAAAAGGGATTTTAAATAACACATACAAGGCCAAGTAGTCAGTAAGTAGCAGAGTCAGATTTGAAGCCTAGGTGCTTCATTCTAAACAAAGTTATTGTTAAGTTACTTTGTTTTGAAAGACCCACAGTTACGATGAGTAATATAACTTGGGTATTCAGAAGCAGGTAAGAATTGAGCATTGGTTTTACATAATGTGCCTCAGTGCTTTATATAATGTGTGTGTGTGGGTTGTGGTTTCCAAGAGGCAGTATTCCCTAAATTGTGTTCTGAGGAGTACTAATCCTGTGAAATACTTGAATTAAAAAAAAAAGTTCCACAACCAGAAATGCTCTTGGAATTCATTAAAGACTCTAAAACATCCTGCAGCAAAGGTACATATTTAACTCAACTTTTTTTTTTAACTCATAACATTCTTAATTCTTTTTTGTATAGCTCATATGTTTTGCCTGTCTGTGGTGGTAGCTGTCTGTGATCTCAGTGACTCAAAAAGACTCAGTTAGAAGGATCAAAAGTTCAGGGTCAGCCTCAGTAATGTAGCAAGGCTTTAAGCAACTTAGTGAGACCCTGTCTCAAAAACTAAAAAGGGCTGGGGAGGTAGCTTAGTGTTAAAGTGCCCTGGATTCAATCCCCAGTACCAAAAAAAAAAAAAGAATAAAAGAAATACATTTTACATGCAGGCAGTATAAATGTATGTATATATGTTGAGGGCCATAACCGAGTTAAGATGGCGCCTGGCAGTATGCCAGGAGAAGTGGTTTGTGAGCCAATGCCAGCGAGCTATTAAGATGATGAGGATTCCTTAATGACTGACTGCTGTGTCTAGATGATGTCAATTAAGTTAAGCTGTGTGTAATTAGTTGGGTATATGTACCTCTGCGGTCCGGCAGAGAAGTGGCTCCTGCTACCTTGGGTGCCTGCTACTTTGAGTTCTCAGTTCCTGCTGAGTTCACTCGCAATAAAGTAGTTACTGCTTCAAACTTCAAGTTGCTTGTCACCTCTCGGTTATTTTGCCCAGCCGGACTTAGGCAGCCCAGCCGGACTTAGGCAGCCCAGCCAGACTACAGCATATATATATCTGAAATAAAAACATGATGTAACACCTTTACCGTGAGCGATGTACTCATATTTTTATTTTATTTTTTTCTAGTCTAGCCTTACATTTAAAAAAATTTCTGGTCAAGACTCATTCTATTGATTTTTTTTTTTTGTACTGGGGATTAAACCCAGGGGCACTCAACCACTGAGCCTCGTCCTCAGCCCTTTTTCATATTTTATTTAGAGACAGGGTCTCAGTAAGTGCCTGAGGCTGACTTTGAATTCACCATCCACCTGCCTCAGCCTCCAGAACTACTGGGATTGATTTCTTGACTCATGAATGAATCACAATCTGTAGTTCTACTGTATGAGACTATGCTGTCTTATTTTCTTGTTTATTAGTGAACCATACTTTAGGAGAGTATGTAAAGGGCTGAAGTCAAAGGAAGCAATTATTTAATGGTAAATACCTTTGTTGACAGATTGTGTTTTTCTGTCAGTACTGGTAACAGTTGAATGGAAACAGTATTGTTGGAGAACTAAATATAAAGTTTTAGAAGAGAGTCTTTCATGTAATTAAGTACTTTAACAAATATTTTATTGTAAGTGGCTGTATATATTCTACCAGATAGTAACTTTTTCTATTACTTGGTATTTATTTATGTTTACTATTTTTCTGTTACTGGATATTTAAGTTGCTTCCAACTTCTTTCTTTTGTTAATATTTAGTAGTTATCAAGAACAGAACAATTTTGTATATTAAAATTTCCTTACTTGTTCTTTGGAATACATGTTTACCAGAATATTTGTCTGTCTTGAAAAAAACGTATTTCATAGTTAGGGTAAACTTGAGAAGTGTGGGTTAAATAGGTCTCACTTAGCTAGTGGAACTGCTAACTTCATGGTAGGAAGTTAGTATGTGGCACTATTTTTAGAGATATATCTTGTGGACCATGTACCCCTAAGAACACATTTTGGGAAATGATCATGTCAGAAATGAAGGCAAAAATATTTTGTTGTAATGTACATTTAGGTGATAATTTTTATTACAAATTACTCAAATACTTTTTATAATCCATTTTTAAAAATTAATGTTAATATAACAGAGAAGTAGATCAGGAAGCTTTTCAACTTTCTTAATTTTCTTATGACCCATGAAGACTTTCTGTTAATTAAAAAAAAGCCTTACCAGGTGCAATGGCACATGCCTGTAATTCTAGCGACTTGAGAGGATGAGGCAGGAGGATGACAAATCTGAGCCCAGCCTTGGCAACTTAGTGAGATCCTGTCTCAAAATAAAAAAAGATTGGGGATGTAGCTCAGTGGTAAAACTACTTGCCTAGCATGTATGAGGCCCTGAATAGATCCTCAATACTGGGGGGGAAAAAAGAAAAGCCTTTATGAAATTCTCTGGCACTGATTAATTTCATATAAAACTACAACTTTTATTTTCAATGTAAATTTAGCGAGCAACAAATATCTAGTTGTGTTAGTCATTTTGGCAATATTTTTCTTGTTATTTGGAAAATTTTGGAGTTAAAGCTTATAAGTGTCTTAAGAAATCTTTGAAGAACTTTCCTAAATTTTATTTGTAAGGTGGCCAAAATTAGTGTTTAATGTATTTGATCCAAAGTTCTCTCTTGTTTTAGATCAGTTGAAATTATTGTACCTTTATTAGTTTAGTTCATATTATGGTTTCATAATAATCCTTTTATGGGAATGGTTTTCAATTTTTTTGTTTCCCACATCTGAAGCCATTCATGTGTAAGTATTTCTAAATTTCTAAAATTTTTTAAAAGAGAAATTTGACAAAGATTTTACTGTGAATAGAGAATATTTTACACATAATAATCTCTTTCAAGAAACTCAAATTATTTTTTCAAAATTTTATGTAATGTTAAAATATTTGGGAATCAATCTAATAAAAGAGATAAAAGACCTCTACAA